CTGCAACCAATGGCAGCTGGGTTTTATTCTAAAAACAACACTTTTTCTTTAGCATGTTAAAATAATTGCTAGGAATTTTAAACCAAATTTACAGTTTCACCACAGATAATGTTTTTTTTAAAAGAACATTACAGAAGCCCTATAGCAGTTAGCCGCGCTAGCTAGCTAACTGCTAAAGTGTAGTTTTATTAGCTAAAAGCAACTTGACTTCATCAGAAGTTTAACACATTTGTAGGTTAATTAAAAGAAAAATAAGGAAAGTAGTAAATTAAATGTCTAAAAAAGTTTGCTACTAATTAAACTATTTTTCTTTCATACATTTTTGTTAAAAAAAAAAAGAAGGCTAATTACCCTTAGCATCAACTAACAACTAGCCAAAACAAAAAGTCTTGAGGATCCTGAACAGTGGGACAAAAATTCATGAAATGCTTTTCAAAACCCTACATAGTCATATTCAGTATATATGAATATGAAATTAACATTTTTTAGAGTGAAGCATATCTGATATTAAAATTACTTTCTGAAAATAACCTCAGGGTAGATATTAAAAATACTTTTCATTAAGCCCACATTTCTGTATTAAAGGTGTTTGCTTTGAAACAATTTGTGTGTTATTAATCTATATAATGTGTTTCACTTAGTAAATTGAGTTACTGAAAACAATTAGCTTTCCAATAATATTCTAATTTATTTAATGGATCTATCTGCCTGGGAACTCCTTAATCAGCAGAAAATAATCAATTGATGGATAGGATCTTAAATCTTTTTCACAGATTTAATTTATTGCTTAAGAAAAAGACGAAAACCAACTGCAAGTCCACAGTTTAATGCCATTGAAAATTTATTGTGATATCTGATAGTTTACATTAGAGTGAAAACAGACATGTGAAATGGCTTCACTAAGACAGAATGCAAAGCAATGTAGTCAAATAAAAGCATATATTTGTCTTTAAATTTAGAGGAAAAAAAATAAAACAGGCACGACATAAAGCCATTATAAATACAACATGCTGTAGACCTTAAACTGGAGTTTTAACAGTCCTAAGAAAAGATCCTGTGCAGACTTTTTCCCGCCTTTGATCGACATCCTTTCAGGCTTTAGGAGCTCAAAAAGCAGGTGGCCAGCGTCACAGTAAAACAGTAAACAGTTTTCAGCAGCAGAAACCTTCGACTTTCGGCGTTTGATGCTGTTCAGCTCAGAGAATCTAAACATTCTGCAGGACGGAGAAAACAAAACGCTTTTCCAGCCTTTAAATTTGGTATGGAAGTTGAATCTCCTGGATTGACTTTCGCTCAACAGAACCCGGTTCTTATTTGGTACACAACGATGACGCTGGCCGCCGCTTTTTGTTGGCTCGGCTCTACGAAGCTCTTCGTTTAGATCGACCAATGCTGGAGGATCCTTCGGACAAACTGGCGGACTCGTACGTGTGTTCAGTTACAATTTGACCTGGCATGAACAGTGAGAGGAAGATTAGCTTCCAAATTTAGCAAACAGTTGTCAGATCAGACTAAATTTTGGGATATCAGTCTCAAACTGGGCTGCTACATTCAAAGGAAGCCAGAAGGTTAGCCTTTAATGGTGCATTCAAGTACTCACAAAAATTATTCAAAATGTCAACATTTTTGGCAATGTGACGCTCCACAGATCCCGATAATTGGTAAATTTAATCAGAGATCAGCTTTCTCCTGGAAAAGGTCATATTTAACTTTTCTTGACTTGTGGTTAGGGGCAAAGCAAAGTCACAAAAGGGCCACACTTTGGACACTACTGCTAAATGGTGAAAGTTAGTCTTGTAACAGTCTCCAAAAAGGGGCGGAGCCAGCGGTGTCCAGGGGCAAATGGGTATAAAAACAACTTTTTCGCCTGAAGATGAAGTTGTTGTTTCTAAAGGAAGCCATTTCTCAACTACCACAGCTGATTGGACGAAATTAATGTCCATCAGTCGACTTTCTTGTTATTGCTGACGTACTTTTCTAGCATCAGATTTTGATTTACAAGCTTGCTGTTGTAACCAAGAGTATCAAAAACTTAAGTAAGCACTTAGATATGGTTTGTTAGCCAGTCCGACATTAGTGGAGTCTCCGTAACTTCTCTTTTCAAAATAAGAGCATCAACATAAATCACACCGTTTTAATAACCGACAGTAGTGATTTTTCAGAGACATTTATAAATGGGGGGGATAAATGTCGATACCTTAGCATTACGTTAAAAACTAAAATCCGTTTTGGTTACTGAAATTATGTGAAACAGACATAAAAAGTTAAAAACAAATAAAATCATTATTCAAAAAAATAATGTTACTTAAACTGGCCTTGAATTATTTTGTGAATTATTTAGAAAATATGGATGTTGTGCTCCGAAGTGGCTTTGGAAACAATTTCCTTTTGCATTTTACTACAAATACTTTGATTTTACAGACTCATTTTAAGAAGTAAGCTAAGATCAAAAATATTTCACCAGGTGCAGTGAATTTATGTAAATTTACCTTTCTGAAACAAGTGTAAATGTTGAATTGGTCTTTTTGTAAAAACAAAAAGATGTGAACATTTTCCGTCAACTCACCTGCCAGCAAACAGACCAAAAAGGTCAGAATATTCTGTTAAATACCGTTTCCAGGACAAAGAATACTAAACCTAAATTCAGGGAAAACTGCTTGGATGCACCATAAAAGGATTAACTTAATGCTTTAACTGTGTTTATGTAAATTTTATGTTGACACCTTTGGAGTTCATTTCTTGATCCCAGAGACTAAATTGTGCAGAGCTGCTCAAGAACAAGTCAAGACAACTGGCGAACTGTAACGTAAAGCGTCTCTAAAAACAGAAAACGGCGAGATTACAGTCAACCATCGACCCAAACCACATCACATTAAATAGAACACAGAAGTTAACAGGTCATTTTTGAAAAAAAAAAAAGTAAACATGAATGTGAAATACAATCAGATAAACAGCCAGCGTCGCTGCGAAGGACCTCCAACATGTCCGCCGCCTGAAAGCGCTCAGTGTGGTGGCGAAAGGGTCTCGATAAAGGCTTTCCCTGCGACACGGTGGGAGATTCCAGCTCGCCCTCGACGTCTACACGGCTCAGCAGAGACCTAAACACCGGCTCTCACCACACAAGCTAAAACAAACAAGCTAACTGAGAAAAAAAAAGGGGATAAATCACTTCCAAAAAACTAAACTGGCTCTTGACCTCAGATCAGCGGGAGCAGCAGTGAAACCAGAGAGCTGCGAAACAAAAAACAATAATAAAAAAGGAACAAACAGAAAGAGAGGAGGAAAAAACCCAAAGAGAAAGTAAACATTCACTTTCATGTGCAGCCATGCACGTGGGCTGAAACACATGCAAAGTACGCACACACACACGCGCGCGCACACACACACACTCAGACAGAGGTACAGTGAACAAAAGTGCTTCAAGTCGGGGAAGTAAAAGAACTAACCCAGTAGAAATACGTATAAAACCTTAAATATGTTACTTTATGTACAAAAACTATCACGGGCCAATATCTCAGCGGTTTCTGTATTTAAATTTTCAAGTAGGTATCATTGCTATCTATTAAGGGTTTGCATTGTCAACGTTTTTTTTTTTTTGTTTAGTTTTTTTTGTTGTTTTTTTTTTGAATAAAAGGTCAGAGTGATCTGACTGACCTTGCCGGCAAAGTAATCAATCACTGCTGATTTTTTTAAACTGCCATCCTTCAAACCAACAACATACAGCCAGTTCTCGATGGGCACAAAGGAAAGAAAAACAACAAAACCCTCTACGTGTACTCTGAGAAATAATATACTCAATATCCATTCATTTGTGCACCTCTAAATATTATCGTAGAAAATATATGTAGACAAAAGAAAAAGGGCAGAGTTGTCTGAGGATCGTTTAGGGCCGTGTTGAACCAGGACAAGGGAAGACACATCGGTTCACATGAAAGGTTTCCAAGTTATGCACTGCACAACAGAAAAAAAAATAAATGGGGAGGCCGTTCATGTTTTGAAGAGGCACGAAATTCATTCGGTTTGGAGGCAAAGAAATCCAAAACATCAGACATGTTAGGGCAAGAACAAAAAAAAGTGGAATTTTTTAACTAAAGGATTGTACACATGTAGCTGAGCCTTTAAGAAAAACAAATATCTTCACCAAATCATTTAAAAATAGAAATAACAGACTCGCAGGATCCGTTTTGGAAAACATTCAACATCAAATCAGCTGCTGAGCGTTTTTAAATATGCCAAACCCACAGGGGGCAGTGTAGAGCAAAGCTGATAAAGACTGCTTCAGAGCAACAATGACTTCCTGTTGGGAATTAAACATGGCGGCTACTTTCAGACAGTGGACTGGGACTCGGGTCAAAGCAAGTCTGTGGGGATACTGGCGCATCACTGGTGGCAGGACCCCGAGTCTGTTTTCACGTTTAAACATGAACACAAATGCAGAGTTTTATCAGATCTACACACTGGTAAAGAACCGTTTCCAGTGATCTTAAATGGTGTTTTCATGTCGATTAAAGGCCAAAATGCATAAAAACATATTTATCATCATATTCTGTTTGACTATGATGGCGTATGGGGTTCTTGGAGAGGAAGAGTACGTTTCTGCCAAAAAACTCAGAAATTTTCTAGAAAAAAAGTGAAAGTTGAAAATTTTATAAGTTGGAAAAGTGAGATTAATCTCATTTCCGTTTTCCAGATTACATACAAACAAAAACTTTCGTCTGACTTTTTCAATATTTAAAAGAAAAAGTAAATTAAAAGTAAAAAAAAAAAGTAAATTCCTACCAAAAAACTCAGACATTTTCTAGAAAAACTTGGACATTTCTGCATTTGAAAAGTCAAAAATTTGCTAAAGCAAACAAACATTTTGGGACTCAGAAATTTTCAAGTAAAAAAACTTGGAAAGTTAAAATTTTTAAACTTTCAGAAATTTTCAGTTTGAAAAGTTTTAGATTAATTTCAACGTTTTCATGTACTCATGCAAGCACAAGTCATCTGATCCAAGTTTTTTTAAATTAATCATTTTTGTGTGGATTGAAAGCCAAAACGCATAAAAATGTATTCGGCTGTGCATGGACTAGGCCTAAAATCATATTGTCATCAAAGATTGGACCAAAAACAGAGAAAAAGACAAAATTTGAGATTAAATGTGAAATAAAAATCCAATAAAATTTAGTGTAAAAAAAAAAGAAAAAGATTTTGCCTCCAAACTGAGATGAAGCACGCGCCTCAGCAACGTGCAAAGGATGTAGCGTCGTTCAAGTACGTCACTGTGTAATGCGTGACCACGCGCGCGCACTATGCATATACACACACAGTCATATGCATATACACATATGTGCATGACAGCAAATATATATATATCGAAACCATGTTCCAATCAATTTCTACATACTACGTACAATATCATAGTATTGATGGATATGTAATCATAGTATGTGTATTTATATTAATATGTAGCAGTGACTTTCATTGTTTCATTACTAGACAATGGGATAATACAGTGTGGACACTGACGTCAGCTTCCCCACTCTAAAAATGATTTCTGCTCCTTTTTCATGTCTCTTTCATTCATGGTGCTGCTGCAAAATGGGACCAGCCACAATCGCATTTAGCCTTACACTACAAATATTTATATATCTATAAATTTATATATGTGTATTTATATATAATTTTATACCTTTTCATGTCAAACAAAATAGTATGTGTTGCTTTTGATGCTTTTTGGGTGCTGGAAAGTACCAGAAAGGGAGAATTAACACGAAAGATAAAACATAAGGAAACGCCAGGTATAAAATCCAACATTACTGGAATCCCAGTTTAAAAAAGAAAAGGAAAAACAAAAGCTGCTACATGTTTGTAACTATAATAAACTCCCTTTGCCCGTTTCTTCTCAACCCATCCCTGATTGCTCATTTGGACAATAGCTAAGAAAAAGAAAGAAAAAAAAAAAGCACACTCAAAAAACAAATAAACCAAACAAAAGTCATGGAAATAAAATGCTAACCAGTAACATCCATCTGCCATCAAACCAAAGCTTCACCAAACCCCAAAGTTAAAACTATGGCAAATAACAATAAAATAATAATAATAAAGTCATTGAAGATGAGTGGAATAAAGAAAAACAACAAGATGTCTTTTTTCAGTGAAGTCTCTCCGTTCACACAGCGGTCGCCACATCACCACAATCACTTGTAAGCGTGTTTCGGTGGAGCCGAGGCGAGGTGCGGGGTTGGGCGGCGGCGGGGGAACCCAAACGTTGAGCGGTGACGGAGAGCACACAATCTTTAAGGTGGCGTAGGGTCCGTGGGTTTTTAACTCCACTTCCGAATGCATTCGTTCTGTCCGGTTTCACGATGAACAGGTGGGTGTGTGCACGTGACGGAGGCCGGCGAGTGGAGGTCTTTTAAAGGGAAGAAGGTGTGAGTAATGGGGGGAACAGGGAGGAATGGGAGCGGGAAGATGGTTGACGCTCCACTCAGTTCAGTAAAGAGCATTCCAAGGTCAGGAAAACAGATTTAAGGAGATGGGATGTGGCCTCGGTGTCACTCCCATCCGTTGTCCTTGATCATGTGAGCCAGCTCGATGATGAACTTTCCCTCTTTGTATTTTTGACTGCTCTCAAACGCATGTTCCTGCAAAAAAATAAGCAAAAAAAGAAAGAAAAATATGCTGGTTACTGGACTGGTGGATTTAAACCAACAACAGACACGTTGCATTTTATTGTTTACATCTGGAAATTTCAGCGCCGGAGGGCAAAAAGGTGATTCTTCTACATACCACGCAGAAAAAACGCTGAAAAACGACTCAAAACCAACGTGTCGGCTACACACAGACCCGTCGCCATAGCAACTGACTGACAACAGCTCCACTGATGCATCAGCACCAAACCAAAAACACCAAAAAAACACTCAAAACATTTCCCACACAATGAACAGATCATTCAGCCCCTTATGGTATCATACGTTCAGGCTTGATGTTTATTTTGCAATTATTAAGTGATTTTCTGATCACTGCGGTGGTTGATTAGCTAATTTAAACACCTGCTCTACTGATGGTCTGTCAGAGATGGTGTGAGGGTCGCCCCCTTTTTTCAACTGGACCGAACTGAATTCCACAGCACATCTACGCTTTAAGGCTGTCAAAGTCAAGCTAGCATAACTTACTTCCCCACATCTCTGTTCTTTTAATTGAAACTTTTTCCTGACCTTGTCTTCTAGCGGGATTTTGCGCGTGACGTCATGTTGCAACGTGTCAATAAAGTTCAATTTCATAAGATATTTTAGGGTGCATCTACACCAGTCATGTTTAGTCCTCTTTAATCAAACTCTGGTCCACCAAAAGGCGCCCAAAAACCTCTGTCTCAGCTTGGTTGAAGTGAACTCTGCACTTTGAATGTATATGTGAAGGCCAAGTGGACTGGACACTGCTCCAAAAGCAGGAAGCAAACTACAGTGCAGGGCATTCTGGGTAAATACAACTAAAACAAAGACTAGTGGGAAAAATGGCTTGAAGTCTTTTATCAACAACCGGTAAAATCTGACAGAACTCCATGTATGGTCACATTTTATGAAGGAGGACATTGAGCTCCGTCTTCTTCAGAGATTTTTGTGCCGTTTCTCTCAGTGGTTCTTGGTGCAGCGCCACCACAGGTGAGGAGGGGAACAGGTTTTTCAATGCGAGTAGTTTGACTCAGTGCAGTGTGAAAGCGAACCACAGCAGCTGAAAATGTAACGTTTCAAATCTGGTCTCACATCTAACAGAATCTATCAGGTGCACCAATTGGACTGTTTCCTTTCAGCTATTCAACTATTAACCATAGCTAATGCAACTAAAATGTTATTAAAATTCCTCTCGTAGAAAATTGAGATAATCATGGCAATGTCAAAAAAAATCGACATAACTGTATATGAAGTGAAAGAAATTGCATTTGTACAGTACATCAATAAAAATATATATATATTTGAGTCGTGTAAACCAGTCACCAGTAAAGCTAGTCAAGCTGAAAATCTAGTGATTACTAGTCGCTATTTAAGCTATCGGTGCGTCGCTGAAACAGTGGTTGTAATTGGATTTCACTCTGAATCTGACTAGTGGTCTCAGTTGTAACTGGATTAAACTGGATTGAACCGGATTACATGTATCTGGATTTTAACTGGTTCTATTGTGTATAACTTTTGTTGTGAATGGATGCTTTAAATAACAGCATGTAATGCATAAATGTACATTAGCATGGCATATTAATGCATAGGAAAGGCATCTTAGTGATTTTTCTAACCAAACATTTGGGAATGTTGGAGAACATGAGGGTGTGTACAATATTGTTGATTTGGATATTTAATAAACAACTTCTGCTGTTTTCGGCAATTTAAAAATAACCATTGGCATTGTTGGCTAGTTAGCGGTGTTATTTTTTGCACCAGTAAACTGGTAATTTACTGGTAGCACTGAAACTCGCGTATGGTCGTTGCAAAAAAGGCGCCGATTTCTTTTAAACATTTTGTGTATATTTTTTTAAAACTGCTAACACATTGAAGGTTTTTCTTACCTTTCCCTGTGATACACATCTCATTAAAAAAAAACTGTAGCAAAGTTATGGTGCAAATTTTGAAACCAGTGACATTTTTAACAGCTAAAAGCTATGAAACCCACTTTGTCTTATTTCAAAGCACAAACACAAAGAAACGTTTTTACATGACAAGGCCTGTCAGTAGCAAACGTTGCTGGACTGTAAATTGTTGCAGAGGTTATTGCGAAAAACAACAATAATGTTTTGAGACCATTTTCAAGTAATATTATGGCATAATAATGCAAGCACACATTCTCAAAGATCAATAAACTTTAAATTATAACCAAAGTTTAACATTGGACTTGGAAAACGATTTAAACATCCAAAAATAAACAAAACCAAAATAAATTATGACGTCTCTAAACAAAATTGTCCTTCAAAAAAGAGCTGGTGGAGACCAAATCACCTGAATGAAGAGTTTTGTCATCCAGTTTTTGGTAGAAAGAAAGAAAACAATAAATCATGCAAATAGAAATTATTGAGTTTGTTTTAATTTATCATGCGATTTATTGCCCACAGTGACGCATTTTTACATGGCCTCATTTCTGTTTGGGAACAGATAGGCAGCTTTTAGGTGACAAGAAAACAGAAAATAGTTTCCGACAAAAATCATCTCTCGGATGTAACATCACATCTCATTAAGGACTGTGTGATTTCTGGTCTGCGCCACGAAGAGTCTCGTGCGTCAGCGTCCTTGTTCTGCTTCTCCTTGTAAACCAGCTCTCTCCTGCCGCGATCGTTTCCGTCACTGAAGGAGTCCCCGTCTTGTACTTTGCTCACTTATTTTACTCTCCTCTCTCGTCTTTTCAGACAATTACCGGAACAGAGCTCTTCAAAACGGTGTGACATTTAATCACCGCAGAGTCTCAGAGGAACCAGTCTGGCTGTCTGCAAGCCAACCTTTTGTGCCGCTGTAATTATGTTGTGTGCTGGGAAACCACAAAAGTGTTCAATCGCACAAGCCTGGACAAAAGTGTCAGCGTGGCGTTAAAGAGCGCTGCCTTAATGGAAGCTACTTTGCTCCTTTGACCTGTAACGTCACGATTTTTTCCATCCTGACATCCAGAAAAGCCACGTTGTTGCTCAGCAATACGGAGCGATAAGGCTCAAAGGAAAGTTTGGGACTTACATATTTCCAGCCCAGGGTGGTTTTACAGTTTTCACAGTAGATATCAGCCACAGCATGTAAACCTGTGAGGAGAACCCGCTCCTCCGCTGGCCCGCAGCCCACATTCACCCTGGAAACAGGAAGAGAAAATTCAATTAAGACAAATACTTTAGCAGGAAAAAAATATTTTGGAAAATTAATATTTCTAAAAGAATATTAATTACTGTCTATTCCTCTGACGTTATATGTAATTAAAACCCAACATTACAGGTCCTTTACGAAGGCTGGGTATTTTCTTATTTATATAAAATGTTCCGTTACCAATTCAACCCAACATTTAGCACAAACATTGTTTTCAACCAAACAGCTGAACCAGAAGATCCGATAAGCTCGATGAGCTGAAATCTTAATATTTTCTCTGCAGTGTAAAAAGGGTTAAAAAATAATAATAAAATAAAGTGAAGCTGTTCCTCATGCAACTTATGTAATTATATCTGCAAAGAAATATGCTAAAGCACCTACAATATCTATATGTAAAAATTAAATTTGCCATAACGCCATAACGTCTTATGAAAGGTTTTTAACGAGTTGGTTGGAATAAAAAATAAATGTCAAAGTCCAAGAAATTTTTTTTTTTCCAAGCACTTTCAAACTCTTTATATGCGTTTTGAGAGAAATAGATTTCTACTTTTCTTTAAAAAAGAAAACAGCTGATAAACTGAGGTTGCTAGGTAATAAGGCTGGGCTTCGCTAGGGTTGCTAGGTAACAAGACTGGGCTTCGCTAGGGTTGCTAGGTAACAGGCAGCGTTTTTTTGAATTTCCAGAAACCAAAAAAAAAAAAAAAAAAAAAAACTTACTGCAAAAAACCAGCTGGGTAGTTTTCTTTAAGTGCTTGGGATATTTTTAGAAGCAGTAGGAACCCAAATAGAAGTATATTTTGGGTAATTCGCCCCTTTAACTAAAGGCAGATCTACCACATTTTAAAATCATTTCAAAATCTGTTTAAAGTAGTACTTTTCATTTAGCTCAGTTTACTTATAGTTAGGATTTCAAAAAGTGGTGTAAAGTTTAAATGAGAAAACTTTGTCGTTTAGACGAGACTGCTCTGCCAGTTGAACGCAACCAACTGAGAAATGTCTTGTTTAAATGAGATAACGCTCCTGAATTTCTTTCCAAGTTCTGGCAGTTAAATACTTCTGTAATCACCACGTTAAAGAAACTTTTCAACTCTCCTTCTACCTGGATCTACCAACAAGGCTTTGAAACACTACTTCACTGAGACGAAGCAACAAAAGACAGACAATATTTTATAGAATTAAGAGTAAATGATAAATTTGGTGTGAACTTCAAAACCACCTCAACATTTCTCACGCTGTTCACATGTTGACTTTTAAAAGTGTGAGTGTTTGAATTGAGCTATTCATCCTGCCAGGCCTGTGGAGAGCTGCTTTCATTCAGTTCATTGCACCAGGTGAGAACAATGTAACTCAGAGTCCGCAGGAACAAAGCTGTTGCATGGTGACACCTAAAAATGTCTTTGGCCTTTGGGGATCGACGTCTGTGTGTTTCATTAAGACTGAAGACCCAAACAGAAGTAAACCAAGTCATAAACCACTACAGGTTTTATTATTGGGTTTAAAAAGATGGATGCTGTTTCTGCAGAGTGGACAGAAAATCACCCAGCAGAGAACGCAGATAAATCTGCTGTGTACACAACTACAACAGCAATCCTATTCAGTCTTCAAAAGCCTTCTACCAGCTCCAATAAAAACAAAGATAAAGAAACCCTACAAGATTTCTGGAAATAATGTGGATTTTAAACTTAAATTACATCATTTGTCCTCCAAATAAAGTTCAATCCACAGGACAAGTCTTCAAAAATGTAAATCTCTGTTTGCGCCTTATGTTGGTTTCTTTGTTGCAGAGTGGCTTAATTGGGGTGCTTTCACACCAGCCGTTTAGTTTAATTTAAGTCAGTTACAGTTCATTTACCTAGAAAGTTCGGTTCATTTGGAGAAGTGAGAATGCGACCAGATCTGGACAAAAACGCAAACTCACTCTGGTCCGCCTAAAAAACAAGCTGACAGTTCAGCTGAAGTAAATGTTGGTTCATATATGTGAATGCCAAGCCAACTGGAGACCGCTCCAAAAGCTGGACGTGGACTACAGCGCAAGGCATTCTGGGTAAATACAACCAAAACAAACATGTGAGTCTAGGCTAGTGGGAGAAATGACTAGTGGTCTTTTACCAAGACAAAAGAGAAGTCTGCTAAAATCTGAAGCCACTGAAGCCACAGTTTTTAAAGAATAAAGAAGACAGATACTTACACTGAATTAAACAGGTAGGCTCTTCCTTGACTGCCTTGAAATGACTGAAACAGAAAGAGAGAGGAAAGTTAGTTGACATTAAGGAGCCACATCAGCAGAGCGCAGGAATGCCAGCAGATGATACCCCGGGGTTCGTTTTCCTCCCTGTGACTGCTGCGCATACTTGTTCCCCCACCTTGTCAAGGTTTCCACACTGAAGGCTGGCGGCAGATAAGAAATAAAACGAAGCTCAGAAATGCTGGAGGACGAGCAGGAACACATCAGAGAGCAAGCTTGTCAGTTTTTATAACACCCTGTCTTTGTTTATTGGGAACTTGTTGCACAAGCTGTTGCATCAGAGCAGAAAAACACATGCAATCTTTAAAATCCGTCTAATTGTATTAAAAGACGTACTTCTGTAAGAGGACGGTACAAGCGGAGCATTCGTGAGCTGTGAGGAAACAGCTGGAAGTGTGTTTCAAATAAGGTTGCTTGGCGAGAACCCATTTGGTTATGCAAATTCCTTTAAAAAAATCTAATGATAAAAAATGTCACATTTCCCTTTAGCAAATGTAACATCTAAAGATCCAGAGCGAGGAAGCTGCAAAGGATTTATCATTAGCAAACTGTTCCTAAGGTTTAGTGGGAGTTTGCTTTGACTGTACGGCAAATAGTTTAATGCAAGGACGCCCCTCCCACACTTATTGCTAACTGGGTGACAACACTTTTCTTTGTCTCACTGCCCCAAAAAACTAATGAAAATATCTATTTCTTTTTCTTTTTTATATAAATTCACCAATTAGTGCATACAAGACTAACAAACAGAGGCATTGATTTACAAAATAACCACTTAGATAAGAGGATGAACAACAACAAAAACTAAAAACAAAACCAGAACATAAGTGAGCGGAGTCACAACTAGGCATGTCGCAATAAATCAATTAATCGCAGGACAAATTAAAACAAACTCAATAATTTCCATACCTGAAACATCATCTTTGGGAGAAAAAAAGCAAAAACAGAAGAAATATTTTTTGGAGCATTTATTCTGGATTCACAGGGAAATAACTTATTTTCTCCTTTTTTCTCTGCGCTACAGGTGTTAATGTCCTACCTGTCACATCCTACAGTTCAGTGTTTGTGTTTTTAAGTGTAATCTGCCCAGACGCATGCAGCTCAGAGCACCAAGGCGCGACCTTTCCGCAGCATGGGGGAACTGGGTCAGTCCCTGCCGAGTCGACAACAAGACTTCAACAGCGTTTAGGCCAGAGCGGGTTGGGGGTTAGTCCATGTGACAAGAGCTGGGTGTCGCATCTGAAGGGTTCACACATCAACCCAACCACTGGCAAAAAGAGACCGCTCCGTCTAGCTGCCCTTATCCGTTTCCCACTTTCTATTTTTAATTTGCTGGCATTTCTCCCCCCCTCTGCTGGAGCCGGAGCGCATGTGGCCCTTAAAATGATTTAGTTCGACCTCTGACTGCAAGTCAAAGAAAGGTAAAAATTTGGTCAACACAACATAGAAAAATACAAAGTTCTCATGTCACACTTCCATAAACTTTGTAACGACGGCCATCTTGGTGATCAGTTGCTATGGAGTTGCTATGGCAACAACAAACCAGGCACAAGCTTTAAAACTTATAAACAATATAACTACATTACAACTATTACAATTTTTACTATTACATTTTAACTCACTCACTCACTCACAATCGAGTTTTAATCATTAACTGGAATGTATCATCTTAAATTTAAATTTTTATCACAATAAATGATAAACGATACAATAAATGCCTGACCATTAGACTGCAGGAACACACGGTCCTGAGAAAATCTGCTCCAAAACACAATCACACTTTGGTATTTAGAGGTAAAATGTTGCATCTCATTTTAGCCTTCTTCAGACAGTGTAATTACACAAATTAAAAGCAGCTCTTTTGAAAGAAAACCTGAGCCAAAGCTATTAAGGAACCTGCTGAGGTTGATTTTTACCATCTGTCTGAACAGATGTCGGCTGCAGTAAGCGAGGGTTCATCTTCTTCTGTAAGTTAAACCCCAGGCTTTGATTTAATTCAGTTTAAGAGATGGCTTTTAAAGATTTACATGTCTGTAATTTCACATTACATAAAGTAAAGCGTCTCCATTTACAGGAACTATGAAGCTACACATTAACACAATCACACTGAGTAATAAACGTTTTTACTCCAAACTGATGGAAAGATAATAACTTTGAAACAAACCTTTACTGTCGGTACAAACAGCCCACATAGAAAAACTGGTCATTCATTTTGCCAACATGGTGCAATGAAAAATGCCATTTTTGCCCCAGACAATTTAACAATTGTAATATCAATAAAAACACAATGTATTTCAACACAATTCTTTTATTACAACATTCTAATTTCAAACACAACAGTATATTGAAGAATCTGTTCTCCACCTCCATGTCCACCGTTCCAAGGTTGCATGATGGCAGCAGGATTCCCCTCTGTCCTCACTTCAACGTGCTTCAATACAGGAAATAAGCAGAAGTGAATAAATAAACCTATACATCAGTATCAGTCCCCTTTGTCAAAAATGCTACTTCAACCTGAACAACATCTGGAATCAATCTCACCGTTAGCCTTTGGCTCATTAAGTCACCTTTAATGCTAATATACTAACAGTTAAAAAGGACATTTTAAAAGCTATAGACACAACAGCAACCAAACATCAGTAAAAACATTGTAGAATGTAGAAATGTAGAAAAATTAAAATGAATATTTTATCTGGACTAAAAAAAAAAGAAAGAAGAAAGATATGAAAAACTTACGGTTTGAGTTCAGTTCGACGTTCAACCAGATGCTCAACGAGCCGCCGGCTCACGAGTCCGTTACTATGGAGACGGCGCTGCCGTTTGTCCCGTACGCCACCAGGACCCGACAGTCAGGCTGTTAATACCTACAGCCGTTATAAAGGATATATGGGTGGCCATGTCCACTGAAAATATTAAATTCTTTTTAAGAACTAAAACAGCAAAAACATGTTTACATTTAATAATCATATATATTTTTAACTATTAAATGATTGATAATCTGATCAGTTACTCAGTACTTTTTACCAAATACTTTTTTACTCTTACTTGGGTAATTTTTTTTGAATGGCTACTTTTATTTTTACCTGAGTAAAAATATGTTGAAGTACCACTACTCTTTCTTGAGTACAAGTTTTGGATACTCTCCCCACCTCCATGTTCAAATCCTCCAGAATATTCCTAAAAACAATGAATGGCTTCATTAAAGTGTTTAATCTGAAATTTTCCTTTGATTTGATTTCTTTCCCCTCCAGTTTGTTAACTGGTGTATTGCTTCATTTTGAGAGTAATTAGAGACCAAGATAGCAATGAAATTACATTATAATTAATTTACTTTCAAATATTTAGTGGTTAAATGCTTCCTATATCGCTAATAACCTAAGGAAAACCAGGCTAAAAGACTCCAAGTTTCGTTTAATTAAGACATTACCATTAGAGAGAAACGCAGCAGAGCTATATTGATGTTTTGGGTCACGGTCAATGTCTTGGAAAACTTCCCGGAGAGGCGGGAGCCTCGAATGGAGCTGCATCCATTATTGGGGAGAAATGAAGAGTGTGATCATCCCACAAATGGGCTTCCATCAGTTAGACGAAGTGGGACGAAGCCAAGGTGCCAAATAAAGACAGGCAGCCAGCTCGTCAGTATTCAGGCCGCATCGCCCCGATCCAGAACCACGTTCGCACTGCGGGCCTTCACGCTCTGCTGACAAACCGCTTCTCCGGTTTCACGACGAGGCTCGGATCTGCTGCGACAGATCTGATTTTCTGTTTTCACAAAGCTTAAAACGGAAAAAACAAAGAAACTGATTACGTTTTGTCTCGTTATCCTTCATGTAAATGGACCAGAGTTTACTACATATTGTCCTGTGGAAGCTGTTGGCACAGTGGGGGTGCTAATAACTTTGAGATGACAGATGCATCCTGGGTAACCCGATCGCTAGAAGACATAATTAAACAGAGGTCTAAACATACCAAAATAAAAGGCTACATCTACCTCGATATGAATCTGACATCTGTAGCAGCAAGCCGATACCAGAACCCCATGAGATTCTCACAGCATGATTAAAGAAGCAGAAATAACAGTACCTACAAACTTTCCACCTTCCTAAAATAATGATCCGTTGTATTTTTTTCCAAAAGTATTTTTTTTCTTAAATCATCATTTGGCAATAAAAAGGAAAAAAATTTTATTGCTAAAAATTATTTTTCACAAAAAAAACGACTCAGGCCATTATTTTAGGAAGTTGCCGATATTCTAACTATTGCTAAAATAAAGATCTTGATTATTGCAAAAACACAAAATATTACCAAGTATTTTTGGTAGACCAACAACAGAAATACTAAAATGAACTATGAAGTCTCTTCAAAAAAGGAATAGTTCAGACCAAAACTCCAGACTGAAAACTTTCATCGTCCACATTTTGGTAGAAAGAAAAGAGAAAAATGAAAAATTATACAAATGGGAATGATTGAGCCCATTTTAATTTATCCTGTGATAAACTGAGTTTTGGTTTGCTGTGACTATAGCAGTAAAAATATTAACATTTTTATTTAGACTATATAAAATTTGTAAGTGCTTGTTCTGCAGAATAGCTTGACTTTTTGCTGTTCTGCTCTTTCTATCATGAAACTGGATGTAGAAAAAGCAGATTTTAGCTGGAGAATATTAATTAGACTGCAGTCTACTGGCCAGTTACTGCAAGACTTATTCATTCTCATAACATGTACATAAAGTGAAGTAGTGCAAAATTTCATACCCTTTTATTATTCATATTTTGAACACAAAGAAAGCTGCCAATTTATTTGGCAGTGAAAATTCTTAGTGCTTTTCTGATGTTGAAATATTTAAAGACTAATGAGAACCAAACATGGAGAAGCAGCATTCAGCTTCTATGTGCCACAAATTTGAACAAACTTCCAGAAAACTGCAAAACAGCTGAAACACTGAGTGGTTTCAAAACAAGACTAAAGCCCCACCTGGTTAGAGTCTGAA